CCTGATGTTGGGGGAGTTGGGAATAAGCCAGAGCAGAGGGTTCCGGAAGGAGACGGGGGGGGGGGGGAGGGAGGGAGCTGGGAGAGGATTCCTAAGAAGGAGAAAAAGCAGAAGGCAGGCGGTCAAGAGCGCCACGTCGGACTAAAAAAATAGAAGTCGACACTGCTGCGGGTGGAGGTTGGAAGCTTGAAAGTTGTCGGTGGCAGCACCGATCACGGGCCGGCGCGCGTGTTCGTCAGCCTGAATCAAAGGGGGGGCGGATAATAGAGACGAGCGAGAGAGGGGCACTAATTTCACCAGCCCGGTGGTCGCTACTAACGGCACGGGAGACGTAAATAAATAGTCTCATATTTCTTACTTTGAAAAAATATTCTTCTTGAAGTACATGAAGTCGCAGAAGGAGTAGTATACCCGCTACTGATATACCCTTATACATAGGGGATCACATGAGTTTCTTCGCGGTGGGGGATCGAGGGAAACTCGCTGGCTACTGGACTTGGATGAGTACGTGCAATGCAAGTCTCTGCGGCGCCATCGGCAACGGCAAGGTGTAGTACAGAGCGATTACTCTGTTTGCTTCTGTAAATAGGACACATCCACGCAGGAATACACCGCCATGTCTGTCGACATACGTGTCTCTTGCGTATGCATTCATACTCGCTTATCCTCCGCCGGCCGTGACCTCAAACGTGAACCCATCACGGCTAGTCTAGGTCGAAGGACACGGACTTGACCTCCCGCAATGTCTACGGCAACGCTTGGGCAACGTCTCCCCTTTTCACTTCAGCCTCGGATCCGCGGAGCGTTGTCACATTGTCACGTGTACCCCCGACCCAATAGAACACATACGCACGCGTGACGTACGAGCGCGGAACGCCGCTGTGCAAGACGGAAGAAGCAAAACCTGCCGGGCTACTGCGCGCGAATATCCCTATCGTGGGAGGGAATCATACGGCCGCAACCTCGAATCGGTTTTCAGCTGGTTGCGTGTCCGTTTGGGCGATATACGCACACATATCTTTCAGAGATTGGATAAAGTATTCTCTCTTGCGGAACTACTTGGAAAGCATGACTGACGGCCCCTTACCCCATCCAGAGCCAGGAGAACAAGCGTGCATCATCAAGACTCAATCAACACAGCGCACGGTTGATCCGTCCGGTGCCTGGATATTAGCTGTACCACTTTAAACCACGGAGTTGACGCATTTGTGCCGCGCTGACGGTTTGGGAGATTATTATACCGGAGGGGGGCGCACCCGAGCAGTCTATTTGTTTTCCTCAAGTCTAATTGCGCCCACATTCAACAGGATCTTGAAGAGACCCGCTGTAGACTATGTGTTCGGCTTCGTAAGCACCTCACTTTCGCAAGCGTTCCACCGTAGAGAGCGCACTGGATCTACGGCCACGTCGCGCAGCATTGGCACTACTGCCGTAAGTTTCTCTGCACGGGGAACCCTTCCTCCTGTCCCGCTCTCCACTCACATGTCTGGATGGTCATGAAGCGGCATGCAAGCCCCCGGCGGCAGAACGAACACTCCGATGGAGAAGGTCGCCTCTTGCGCGATGTGTAGATATCGAATCTCCCCCGAGAGGATCGACGGAGGGCTGATGTAAGGGTGGGCGTACGGCACCATGCCAAGCGCCTCGGGTGTGAGCATCGCCATTGCCTGGCCCGGAACAAACAGGGGAGCGGGCCCGCGTGTGGCATATTCGCGAGGAACACAGCTAGACAGTCTAGCGTAGCTCTGTAGATAAAAGATATTCGACGACCTCCTGTGCCGACTGCTGTAGCTCGCTGCGTCCACCGGACGGAATACAACAGAACGACAGTAGATTCTTAGGGCAGCAAAAGCCACGCCGCCGTCCTGCCGTACGGCCCGGCACGAAAGGGGGGGATGGATAGTTTTGCTTTGTGGGCTACCGAACGCACGAACAGCTGCGAGATTTGGAATCCAACCGTTGATAGTGAGGCCACGTTGACTACACCGTCGCTCACTTCAATAGCCACCCCCCGGCCCCGACTGGACTGGATACCCAGTGCCCAAAGATCAGAGATCTCAGGAAAACTCATCCATGCCTCTCACTTGTTCGATGGGCTGAATATCCTCAGGCGTCATCTCCCCTCCCGGCCTTGAGTGGATCGTACTGGCGGTTGCCCTGGCAACAGCAATCACCTGAACTCCAGCTCGAGTCCTGTCCATCAGTCAGTATCCTGCGCCCCCGGCGCTTGCCGCGAGCCTTTCGGGGCAAAGTGATGGCAATGTTCGATCGTTGACCAATCAGGACGACACGAAGCCACCTTCCGAGCGGACGATCGATGCAAGTGGAGGGGAGGACCGCGCAGAGAGGGCGGAGGGGGAGAGCGCAAGTATTTTTGTGTCGAGAGAGTTCACATGTCAACACCACCACGTGTTGCTGTTGTTCCGGTCTCCTTCGTGACGTTGCATTTGGTGATTTTTTTCTTGGAAAAAATCTGGATCGTCTCTCCGCCTCGCTGCGTCGGCTCAGCCGCCTTCGTCGGCGGCGGCCGTGGTGAGAGGCAGGGGTAAAAGCCGCACACGCTCACAGTCGCTTACCCAGGCGTCTGATCCTGATTTTGCCCCGTGTGCCGGCTGCGTGCGTTGGTGCGGTGAGCGGGATACGTCGCACTCGGAACGGAGAACAACGAGCAGTGAAGCGGAACCTCAACCTCGTGGGTTGAGGTTTTGTACGCATACAAACAACGCATGGTGAATATTGTGGTAGTCCACGTCGGCACGTCGGTGAATATTAAGGAATAATAAAAACACACACAGAAAGACTACCCATTCGAATATTGTTCTGCTGTTTTACGCCGCCGCTGCGGTGTGGGAGAGGTTTATATACGGCGATCTTTTTCACCTAGGCAAGCAGTTGCTATCCCCCCTGCCAGCATGTGAGTCAGACCCAGTCAGATTCCTCAATGCGCAACCATTCCTCGAAGCTCCGACTCTCAGGCGGGTTCGAAGAAGGGCGGTCCTTCTTTTTCGACAAGCACACAACCACAAATATGTTCCAAGTTCCAGTTCTAAATTCTCAAAGTCCTGCACTGCTGTGCAGCACTTGACTTCTCTCCAGGATCGCACTTCGACTAGATTCTATGTTGTGCGATATAGAACGCGCCTACATTACAAGTTCTCATGTGAGAAAGAAAGGTAGAACTAAACGGACACGACACGAGCCGTGCCAGAGTTGGTAACAACCTGGTCCGCTACAAGGCAAAAAGATGGATCCGGTGGGTTATTATTATTTTTTTTTGTCTTGACTTCAGTTCCTCACAGCATTATTAGTCTAGTGCTGTTTACTCCTAACCCGTGGTCACACAGAAGAGCTCCTCTCCACCCTCCCCTCCTACGGTGCGTTGCCTTCGATTTTTAATGCGAGAAGAGATCAGCACTCTCTTCCCTCTGTGTACACACGAACTAGCGCAATCCACTAGGCCAGGACCGGAAGCGAGAGTACAACTCACTTTGCAAGAACAGCTCGCTTACGCCGGGATTCGAACCCCTGACCTGACCTGTAGAAGGTTTCAAGGTCACCAACTAGACTACCGGGGCGACCGGCTCATATATACATACTGATGAAGTAAAAGAAGTTTAGCGTGTCCCACTGACTGTAATGATTAATTATTAGGAAGCATATATACAAACACAGAAAGACTACTGTACCCATTCGAGATAAGACCACAGTCGAACGGGATGTGTTGAAGTGTTCACAGTGAATCTGTGGGCGCCGGTTGGCTACACTGCTATTGCTAACCCCGCTGGTGATCTCCGACAGGTCATCGGAACACGTCATCACTATCTACGACACAATCAATCGCACGTGACGACGTTCACGTGTATCGTCACATGTGACGCGAAACAACACGTACATACATGTAATAACCCCACCCAGTGAACGGATTAGTATTGTCACGAACGGGTTTGTTTATGTAGTATCTTTCTTTGTTCATGGCGGTATGCATATATATGCACTGGTGTCCCGATATAGTGCCAGTATGTGCCCAGAGGTTTGACCGGCACTATACATGACACCGGCACTAAATCAGAACAGGGATATCGGTACATCAGTATAGGGGTGGACACTCGTGCCCATAGATGTGGCCGGCACTACACCGGGCACCGGCACTATATCGGGGCAATGAATGTATTTGCTTCGTGAAGGTCCGTCACACGCCTGCGCTACAGATTGTATTGTGTTCTTTTTTGCAGGTAGACTAGTCTAGGTGTCGAGCGTCCTTGTTACGCAGCACTCACGCACCGTATCCTGTTGCGTGCACAAACCCTCTGTTACAGGGAAAAACCCGCAACGACAGCGAGAGCGGGTGTTGCTCCTCTGGGCCCAAGCGCGAACACTCCACAATCAGCAATGAATAAAAACTCGCTTCTGTCTTTCGGCACGGCAGGTGGTGGGCACGAGGCGTTGCAGGGGAGGGGGGGAACCCCCGCTTCATTTAGTACACGTGTACATGTAGATCCGCTTGCAACAAATCCGCCGCGAACTACATGATGCACCCCACAAATCATGTACACATTTGTACATGTTCAACACACTGAAGTAATCTGCATCTTCTACAGCAAAAAAAACGGCCCCTTGTTCTATTCCGTGCGAAGAGTAAGCCGGCCGGAGCTGAGTCACTTTTTCGCAGCAGCGGCCACCGTGCCAAGGAGCATGACTTTTGCCCCCTCCACAATCTTCGTTGCGCCGATCTTGTCCCCATCGCGCAAAATGCCCTTGAACAGGAGCTTCTGCCGTAGGAACGGCACGCCGGTGATGGGTTCCAGTCGTCGTTTGAGGTCAAGCACGCTCATTCGGTCGGGCATCACTCCGCCAAGCTCGTAGACAGACTTGCCATGGCCAACCTATTCCGTCGCCGGGCATGGGCGGCGGAGCACCCGTGGCAGCAGCAGCAGCAGCAGCAGCAGCAGCAGCAGCAGCGGTTTCGCAAACGCGAGACTGGGACACGAAACAACCGCAGAGGAAGTGCGCTGCGAGCTAGCCGGTGAACCTAACGTTCGTCAAGCATGCTGCATAGTCTTACCACACCGACACACACTACAAAAGCATAAAGCTAAATGCGCGCGTAGGGCGATGAACGCAACCGTTGTAACGGTGGTCAACTTGTGGATTTAGGGCAGGGAGCCCTCCCCCGACAGAATCAAATCCTTTGGGGTCACGGCGATGTTCAGGAGGGAGAAAACCAAAAGGGATCACCTGCAGTAAAACAAAACTAACGTAACAAGAGCGACAGGACACCAGGATACCTTGCTTCACCCCTTAGCCATGCCACACGACCGCATGTCCTCGACAGTGTCGACGGGAAAAGGCGGGGACTTTCCCGCAAGTCTTGCAACTGCCTTCAGACTTCTGGGATGCAAAACAAGCGAAACGAGCAACCCGGAACCATTCCACCCGCTTGACTCACCGTAATGGTCATGCCCCCTCCTCCGCCTCCTTCTTCGCTAGCCCCGCCGCTGGCGTTCGTCGCTGGTGTTCCTGCTGCCGCCGACGTCACGCCCGAACCTTCACCTGCTTCTTCACACCCTGATGCTTTCGCTCCTACAGCACAGGTGCTCAAAACGTGTCCCGTCTGCCGCTGCTGTTGCTTATTGGGCTCTTCATCACCGCCAATACCACTCCCTTTCAAGTCATCCGGCGCACCCTCCACGTTCAACCCCGGAGCGGCGACGGCGGAGTCGCTGCTGCCTCCCTGCGCCGAGGTATCGGAGGCAGAAGAACCGGCTGGCGGTAGGGTTCGTGGCCGCACCATGACAGCGTCGAACGACTGCAGTTGCTCCGGGGGTAAGTTGTTCAAGATCCCCCCTTGGTAAAAAAAAAAAGGCAGTTCGTACACACGACAAACGCGTGTCGGGGTTCGGTAAATAAATAGATGCACGACGTGACATCGTGCGCGCAAGCAACACCCTGCACCAAGGCGAGTCGGCGCGTGAATGATCGTCGCGGCCTGGTTCACGAACCCGCTGCTCGGGCTGGGTCTGCAAGAGGAAGGGTACCTCCTAGGCGACGGACGCAGCCTTCAAGCCCGTAGGCACTGGGTTGCTCGAGGAAGAGCAACCTCCAAACCGGATTTCTTCATGTACACGACACACGTAGCAAGGCTGCATGTACCAAAGGACCCCTGAAGACAAGACCAGCCCTGGTCCCTCGCTTACAGACATCAATGCATCGGGCAGCGGTGATATACAGCCGTGAATATACGATGTATTCTCTCTCTCCCTCTCTCTCTTTCTCGGGCCACAGCAACACGCTTGTGTTGACTTATTGTTTTGGCAAGAGATAACCCCGCTCGTGTACCCACCTGTTGGCAGCCCGCTACTCGCGCCGACCCGCGCGAGCTCCAGCGGCCGAGCCTCCTCCCCAGCCTTCAGCCGCATATGCCGTCGCCGGGTTTTCAAGATGTGGTCCAGAGCTCGGCCGACCGTCCACAGGCGGGAGAAGAAAAGGTGGTGCACGTCGGTGTCGTTGCCACTGTTTACAACACGGCGGAGAGTTTTTCCGGCCGAGGATAGCGAAAGGAACAGGAAAAGGAGAAGGCCAACACGGGTGGGGCACAGGGACAGAGCGGCCGAGAAGTACAGAGATGGGTAGCATCTCGAGAGTTCCCTCAAAATCTCTCTTGAAGCGAAGAATTAGTGCCAACATCCACACGACAGCTGCAAAAGGAAAACGATATTACGCTATGATTAAAAAAAATAGCGCTGTTTCCTGGTTACACCTCCGTATTTTACGACAATCAACCGACAGAGAACAAAGAACGCACTCAGCCGACGAGCAGTAGCAGGATTTGGTTGTTCGTGGAGTAGAACCGCTCCGCGTATAGCATTTTTTGTATTTTCGAATTTTTCACGGAGCGATTTTTGCCTGTTGTAGTAGTCACGGAGCGGATCGGAGCGGTTTATCCGAGGGGAAAAGGCTGAAGGAGCAGAGCGGTCTTTCGTGTTCATGTCACGGAGCGGACCGGGGCGGTTAATCAGTGGCACGTTTTTTACTGAGAGGTTTGATTTCCTCCGAGCATGAACCGCGCGAAACCGAGGCCTTGACGACGGTGCACCGTGAGAAAAACCGTTGAAATCAGTCGGATATCCGTACATAGTGACGGAGTACCTGCGATCTTGAGCGATACGTTGGGTTCGACACATCGACAATCGATTTTTATGCACGGTGGGGGTTATGTGTGGAAGTCGCCCGTGACACCGTACGCGTCCTGGGCGCCAGCACAGCCCAAGCGAACGAAAACATTCATCAGTTAGTTGTAGTTAGGTGAAGGGACCATTACCCAATATGGATACCTCCTCGACCTATTCGTTCCTGCGACACGTACTAAACTTGCCTATCTCTCCCTCTTGTTTGAACTCGCCATGCCGGTGTTAGGAAACGCCAGGCGTCTCAGGTATTATTCACCACGGCACCACGCCCAGATGTCCCTGCTACATTCAGTTAGATTTGAAGTTGACAACCACTTGCTCTCCCGCTCGAGCAGCTCGGACAGTTGCAGCGTAACGCAACAGACTGGGCTGTATTTAAGCAGTTTCCCTAACTCATGTGACACACATATGGCCAAACTGCTGTTTCATCTCCGGGGAAAGATCGGGCTTCGATATATGAGGAACATAACCATCTCGACACGGTCGGGGCGTCATTGCCTGCCAACGATGGTTATTCACGAACCCAACCATGCAACCCCCCTCTCTTCTCTTGGCAACTATTCTTGCCACTTGTCCATGCAAAGGTGCACGTAATGTGGGGGGGGGGGGAGCGGTGCGCAGGTGCGCACGTTTTTTATTGTTTCGTTTGTTGTCATGTTTATGTGGGTGTGTAGAGTATGCGGAAGCCCGTGCACACACATCGTGTCGTGCAAAACCCGTGACTCCGTGGAATAACCGAAGCTGTATTGCGGTAATAACCGAGGATTATGTGACGGAGTAGCTCAAACCGCTCCGTGAAAAAACGCTCGTTGGGAAACCTCACGGAGCGGAGCGGTTCAAACCGCTCCGCTCCGCCCCTCTCCGTAGAAAAAAAACGCCCCGTGAACAACCCTGGAAAAAGAGAGTGCGCACGCTTGATTGGATCTAAGAACTCGCTCACCAGTAATGCACCTCAAGGAAGAACCGGTCTTCCATTCGCAGCTTCTTGTCTCCCACCGCTTTCGCCTTCAGAAGCATGCGATGGACCTGGGTCGACATCCTCTTCCCCTTCTCCGTGGCCGCCTTGTCCATGGCTAGCTGAGAGTTCTTCAATAGCCTGGGTGTATTGTAAGGAAGTTTCCGGTTCGGGGTCATGGGTACCTGGAGCTGCCTGGTGGATGGTTGCTCGGGCCGGAAGCGCAAGAATCGAGCCGTGTCTGTTGAAAGTAGCAACGGCTAAGGCTTGAAGGCACTTCCAGCAACAAGTGACTAAACCGGTGGTGTTAGTTAGGGTTCCGGAATGCCGTAGTCAATCAAGGCTCTTAGGTAGGTTTAAGACGAAGAGTTACTCTTCTGACGAGCGCGGGAATTGACAGGAGGGGTCATCTGCAACTGCGAGTCCTTCAACATCACAATGCGCGAGTGACAGGCGACACATGAACGCCGACACCAGGCGTCGTTGCCGTATTTGCTTTCTCACTTGTCAGGTGCCCCAGCGCTTCCTTCACCCGCCTCCCCCTCTGAAGCCTTGATATTAAAGTGCGTCGTCGCAGCGTTTAGCTCCTTCTCGCGACCGTCGAACCGAGACTTGACGGCAGACATCACCTCCGACGGTTTGCTGAGCGAGAGAGGGTGTGACCCTGGAGCAGCGGTCCTCCCGCCTTCGCCCATTCGCTGCACCCAAAGGAGATGGGTGAGAAGGGATCCGTCTCGAATCTGACATTTACCCATCAAATACTGCGCTGGTGCCTTTGTACCTGCCTCTTGGGGTGCATACTTGTCTATATTCATGGGTATGCTACGTGTGCAGTAGATGATGTCCGTGTACTCCCATGTAGCCTAAGCTACTGCTGTTTGACTAGACTATACAGCAGTACCAGAGACTCGTCCCGTAGTCTTTCTAGTACACTCCGGAGTATTTGTTCGTGTAGAGGCTGCTAAAGGTAATGTCGCGCAATAACTCCTTTACGCTACGCACCAGAGTGCAAGACCTTGAACATGTGCGACGTACACCTACGCGCAGATGCGCAGATGGCACGTACAGCGTAGACTAGCATGTAGTATGTAGTTGTCACCTCCAGCAGACTCTTACCGACGCGAGGTACTCGTCTCCTTGGTCGCATCGATGCCCGCTGCCGATCGCCATGTGATCGGAGCAAAATACATGGCCACACGCTGGGCAAGCATATGGAAGAAAGTCGTGTTGACGACAGCCAGGGTATGAGCACAACTTCGCCCCGAACTCGGCCATCTGTCAGTCTGTCGTCGTCGGTCGGGTCTGTTTGCTGGTTTCTTTCGGCAGTCCGGCAATGCGGGACTGTCCAGATCGGCCAATCAAATCGGTTTGTGTTGCTTTTCTGTTCTGCTCTCTGCTCTCTGCTCTCTCTGCCCTACCGGGGGCCAACTGCAGCAGCAAGCTGCAGCAAGCAGCCAGCAGCGGTTGACGACGGCAAAGTTGTCTTCTTGTGTCTTCAAAGAGAGCTGGTAGAAGATGACCGTGAACGTTCCATGGTCGACACTGAGGCCCAATCCACGAGATCAGCGCGAGAGAGCCGCAGCAGAGTTTCCAGGCGGAGGAGAGGCGCCGCCCTTGGACAAGGACGGGGAGCCTGAAATCGCATGGGATGTCACGGACTTTGGCAAACGCATGGCCTTTGGGGGCATTGTGAGTGACGGACACGGAGACATGCCTGTTCTTCCCCTCCCGCTACCGCAGACACTGCTGTGTTGGCAACCTGACCTGTACTCTGTCACTGCTACTGCTACCGCACATAAACTTTCCCAGCTCGGTTGCGCCGCCTGTCCACAACCAAGGGGGCTGCCAATGCCGACCAGGGTCGTGTTTGGGTTAATGTCTTCGACAGCCTTCCTTGCACGTATCGGTCGGTTTTTGAACCCTCTTGGTTTGTGGAGTACTCGAGCTTTGAAAGTCTAGTTATAGTGTGTGAGGGCTTGCACTTTTATGTCATCTGCTCCTCGTGGATAACGTTGGGAAGGCGGCCTTTGTGTCCGTTAGGTGGTTGGTGTGCTACAAGCAGTATGTGCCTCCGACGTTTGATTGGATCGCAATGGCTGACTTCTGCCTCGCTACGCCTTGTTTCTCGCGTGTATCGATCTTCAACAGGTCGGGGGCGTCACGGGGATAACGTTCGGAGCAAGTGAGTCGGGGGTGAACGGGTTGATGTGCGCTCACATGCAGACAAACGTAGGCTACAATCAATGGTGAGGCTGATCCCGCCTACAACTTCCTCCTGAATTTCGGAAGCCGCGTTGACATTGCACGCCCATATGCATAGATCTGCATGTACACATGCCCCACATGATAAGCATGGATGTGCATACCCACAAGTTGCTCACCTGCAGGCTCTGGACAACAACAGCATCTCGCCGATGGGCGGGTTCGATACTCAGCATCAAAACCCCCAGGTTGGCACCGAGGCAGACCGATGTTTGATGATCTCGCATCCCCTTCTCCAAGGTTGCTGCTGCACTTGTGTTGTCCTAACGTTATTGTCGCAGTGGACGGCCATAGAGCCATCCGCGACGATTCGATGGGGAAATTTCCCACCACAGCGCTCAAAACGAAGGAATTCACGAGGCTCACGGCTCTGTCGGGCACAATTTTCACTGGGTGAGTTCTACAGTAAACACCCTGCTGTGCTTATGCGAAGCACTACCTTGTACTGCTGTCGCGTTCCCAGCGGGGCGAGCCATCGTAAAGTGTAAGCCACTGCGCAACAGACCAACAGCGTCTGTCTGAACTTGGCCGGAAGGCACAAAGCAGTGACTGCTGCCGACGCTGATTTCGTAGAGACGGCTGGACGGACGTGCGAATACCGTGTTATGTTTTCAAACACGTCCACCCGCAATCACTCTCACAGCAGTTTCGATCGCACGTTTTTCGACCTTGGTCGCCGAGCGCGTAGCATAGTCTAAAACGCCGGTCAAGTTGTAGTGCACAGGTACGATAAACGTATTCTCCAGACAACTAGATACATTCAGCGATGATAATCTGGTTCTTAAAATACTGTGTGGAGCGCAGGCAGCGTATTGTGCCTGGTGTCTTTGCCTCTGTCCTCTCATCGTTCCTCGTGCAACTCCTAATCTGGCTTGCAACTGGGGTTGGGGTAAGGGGGGCTCAACTCCGTGTGAACTGCGCAACGCACACGGTGGACCCAACAACTATTGTACGCCTGTGTTGGACCGGCAGATTCTTCTGCACCTATCAGGGGATGAAGTACGGGGCGAAGCTGGCGCGAAAAGAGGACGATTTCTGGAACGTTCTAATCGCTTCGGCGGGGTCCTTCGCCCCCATGCTGGCGGTGCCGGCAATGCGCTCGCGGTATCCCTACGCCGCGATCCTCATCGCGATGGACACGCTCAACAACCACATTTTGTAAAAAAAACGGGCTTCTAAGGGGAGACAGGTTGTGGTTGGTTGTTACGTAGACGTGTAGAAAGAAGTGGTTTGCGGGTGTTAATTAGTTCTTGGTGATGGGACTTTTTTTTTTGAAACGGAAGGCAGCTCATGACAGCTTCGATCCTTGCGGCCAGCGCAAAACCGCAAGTGCGTCGAGTGGATAAAGCCGTGCCGAAGCGTGTCTTGGCGGAGCTGGACAAATTTAGGGTTGTGGCGAACGTACGATTGTGTCGGGGTTCTTTTAGTGAGAGCTTTCAATATTGTGGTCTTATCAGCATGTTGGAGCCAACGAGTTGGTTCGGAGATCATGGGTTGTGTGTCCCGTGTTTCAGGTTTTGTTATTGCGCACGGTGGTGTACGAATAGGAATTCCTAGGATTCACCATCATGCTGCGCTCGACATGTACGTTAATCTGCGCGTGCGGTGTTGACCCCAAAACCACATGTCATAATCTGTATGTCCTAGGGCTCCTGGCCATGCGTTGTCTCCGTCCACCCCCAGAGAAACCGCTCCGCCAAGTCCTCCCCGCCCTCCCATATGCTGCGGTAACCCCACGTCATCCCACAAGAGCGCCCGCATAACACCCGAAAACACTCGCTGTCCCATGCCAACATGTGATCTCGCAGTACAGACTCTCAATCGTCAGACAATGTTGGGGTTTCGGCCATAGTACACATCGGACCGTCCCTTGCTTCTGTCTGCCAAAAGCGTTGCCTGAGCAAGCCTGCCCGTCTTGCGAAACTTCTGTGACAGCCATCCATTTTCCTACCTATCCCATCCGAATGCCTTCCTCAAGACGTCAAGTGCCTTGCAATAGGCGGGTCCTTTTTGCCAGACATGGCGTATCTACAAGAGTGATGTTCTCCCAAGACTCTTATGGGCCAAGAGATTGGCGCCCCCGGAACACATTGGTCGGCCCCGTTTATCCTGAACTAACGCTGTTGTGGAAAAGTATTTCAAGGCAGATCCCCGTTGCGTAAAATTTGGGGGTGCGGCGTACAAACACACTTAACACATCGAACCAACAAGACCGTCGTTCTTCAGAACAACAGGATTGATTGCCACACACCAAGAACCTATTGTAGATACAATCAGCCAACATCTTACGAGATGCAACACGCTTCGTCTTCTTGCTGCTTCCGGAGCTGCTTGGCCATGTCGCCAAATGCCATCGCGCTGTCTTCGAGCTGGCGCGACCTATCGACTAAATTTTCCAACTTCTCTCCTCGCTCGATCGCCAGGTCGCGGGCTTCGCTGGCCGCCGCGTGGGCGCCGCTAACGCCGCCGCGAGCCCCGCCCACCGCCGACGTCTCGCCGCCGCCGCCGGCCCCGGCTTCTCGCTGCCCGAACAGAGCATCGCGTTGGTGCTGCTCCGTTTGCCCTCCCCCCCTGCCCCCTGCCGCACGACCGGATGAACCGCCAGCGCTCGACGAAAGTAAGGAGCGTGTGCTCCCGCTGCCCCCGCCTATTGAATCCTGTCGGAGCGAGGGTTCGACAGCGAACACATCGGCAATGTTCTTTTTCGACCCGCCCAGCGACAGTCTCCCCAGCATCCCCTTTGCGGATCTCCCCCTGGAAGACGACAGGGCCCCTCCGCCGCCGCCGCCGCGGCCGCCGCTGTCGTTGTCGTCGCCGGTGGAGGACTGCCTACTCATCGCAGCGGGCCTCGCCAGGGTAGATATTTTGACCAAGCGAGGCTTGGAGCCCATCAGCGCGTCGCAAGCTTCGTCTGTCAGCACTGACCACCGGGTCAACTCCTGCTGCGACAGGGGAAGGGCGTCCATGAGTCTCATGTATCCGTGCCGTGTACAAACTGCAATCTTCAACAACATGACGTGATGGCGCGGCCGACACATTCGTGTCTTCGCCTTCACGAGTTCGGAAGAGGAGCGCTACCGGATAAGAGGTCGAAATTGTTGATGAAATGAAGGCAACAATAACAACCAGCACACACGGGGGCTGGTCACCCTGCGGCGCGGTGACCGACACTCAGAAGCGCTTGAAGTAAACCTACTACTGTGTACCACTGCCAGATTGCCCGGCGATGAAAATAGAAGAGACCGGAGGGCACACACGCATTGTCAACGAGGTTCTTTTGTTCCACGTCGGCCAAAAAACACGTAACACACACACAACAACAACAACGGCCGCTCACCCCTGCCATCCCTTGGAGCGTGAGCTCCCCGACGGAATTGCACACGGACTTCTGCGCCAGCGACGGCGCGCCTCTTCGCAATCCGGCATCGTCGCCGCTCGTCGGAAGCCGGTCGCGGAAGACGGGGCAGAGGGAAGGAAGGAGAAGACCCGTCACGAAGCCAGAGGAGTCGGCAGCGATGAGGCACCCGCGTCGCCCCGCCTCACCTTCTAGCCCTTCCCCCCCCGCCGCCGCCACCAAGCAGACACCGGCGCCGTCGATCGTCGGCGGCACCGCGCTTCTCCGGGCCGGCGGCAACGTCCCCCGAGACCGCACAACCAGCTCGGCGCCCGACCTTCCCTTGAAAGTCGCCGCGTCCGGAGAGACCGAGCCCCGCCGGGCAAACACTGATGACGTAACGCCGTCGGCGTCCCTCCGGGAGATGGCGAGGACGACTGCCGTTGCCCCGCGCACTACCAACAACAACGGTTCCGGCGGCGGCGTGTCGCTGAGAACCTGCAGTTCGTGCTCGTGGTAGTCGTCGAGCGCGGTGCGCGAGGGCACGGGAGAGACCCAGATGGTGTGCGAGTGGACGGGGGCGTCTTCTGGGTCCAATTTCACGCCGTCGGCTTCCGTGCCGGCATGATCCTTTCGTGGCGGGGGGCTAAAGGAAGAGCTGAACGGTTCCGACGCGTACGGCTGGAGCGGCAGGCCGTGCTTGTCCACACAGGCAAGCCAGGGGGTTTCTTCGCTCCGCTCGCGACTCCTCGTTCTCCCTGCGGACCCGGCGAAGTCATCTTCCCGAATACCGGCTCTGCCGCCGCCGCCTCCGCCGCTTTTATGGCTATCGTCACTCGGCGGCGCAAGCCCAGGTACCTGAACAAAATCGACGGGGTCCCTGGATGCAAGGTCGAAGACGTTGAGCCATCCCTCCAGCAAGACAAACAGTGCCCCGGAGGCACCGGGTTCTGGGGTTTGCCCCCCCGAAAGGGCACTCGGCATAGGGCCGATCGTGACGCTCGGACGGCAGGGTCTGGACTGCGGGACGCGCATGGGCAGAAGCGAGGCGGAGCCGGTGGAGACATCCGTCACGGAGACGACGCCCGCCTCGTCCGCTACGACGAGGACCAGGGCCGACCCCCGCGCGTCGAACGACAGGGCGACGCACCGAACCGCGTGGCTGTGCAGCCTGAGCGCGAGTTGTATGAGGGAGGCTTTCGGGGGTTCGTCCAGGCGGAGCTTCTCTTCTTCTCCTTTCTCTGCCTCCGGGGCGTGCTTCGGAGGCGGTCGTTTGGGCAAAGGTGACATGACGGATCCGCTCCACGCGCCCTCGTCGGCCATGGCCTCGGAAAGCTCTTGCCGAAGATGATCGCTCTCTTCGTGATCATCCGTCTCCTGCGCCTCCCCTTCCCCCCCAACGGATTCGCGTTTTCGCGCATCGTCGACTGTCCCTCGAGGTTCCGGCGTTTCAGCATTCTCCGGAGCCCCTTCCCTCGACTCCTCGAGCGCCGCAATCGCGCGCGCTTCTGCCCGTGCCTCCGCGATAGCCGCTTCCAGCTCGGTGTCTTCCATTGCGCCCTCCTCGTCCCCGGGAGACGGCTGCTGCCCCGTTCCGCGCTTCAAGAACCGTTTCAACAGTCGACCGCCGCCGCTGCTGCCTTTCGTCGAGTCATCTCCGGTCGTTCCGTCGTCGCCCAGCTTCACGTCAGAAACCTCTACCGGTTTCTCCGCCAGCGGCGTCCCCCCCCCCGACCCTGCCTTACAGCCACCGCCGCTACCGCTAGGAAATTCTGGGTTGCTGCACCCGGCTTCCATCCTGTTGGACAAAACGATCACCCTGGCGTCCCCGCTCTCGAGGCCGACCGCCACCCAGCAAGCGTTGCGCCCCGCCGCCGCCGCCCCCGCCGCCGCCGCGACGTGGTCGCGCTCAACCCACACGTCGAGCGCGGTCACGGCGGCGTTTCCCGCGCCCTCTTCGGGGGACCCCAATCCGGCGGCCGGCACGGAGCCCAGCAGGACGGTCCCCGAGGGGACCTCGCGCATGACCACCCTGCCCTCCGAGAGACAGACCGCGTCCTGCCTCGATGCCGGCCCGCAGCACTCCCAGAAGCTGAGCGACCCGTCCGAGTGGCCCGCGACGAGGAGCTCGCTGGTGCCCAGGGCTTCGTCGCGCCTGCGGGAAGGGACGCTGTCGGGCCATCGGAGGTAACCGCCTCGCAGGAGGGGGGACGCCGTGGTCTGCGAGCCGTTTCGACCCTCCTCCTGCACCTGTTCGGCCCCCAAGCACGTCATGAAGTCGAGGATCGTGGACGAGGACAGGAGCGGCGTGGACGCGACCGCCGTGACCGTCGCAAACCCCGAGAGATGCGGTCCGAACCTCTCCGGCGCCAGCTGCAGCAGGGCCACGTAGGGGCTCGTCTGGATCGGGCAGGCCTGGATGGACGAAGCGAGCCTAAAGTGCAGCCTTCCGTCGTCGCCTAGAAACTCCTCGTTCCACTTCACCAGCCCGAGGACGACCAGCTCCTCGGCTACCTCGACCTCGTCCTCCTGCGCCGCTGCTGAATCTGGCTCATCCTTGCCGCCGACCCTCGCGTCCTCAGACAGGTCGCCGGAAGACCTCGTTCCTGCCCTACGGGGCTCTCGTGTCGGCGCCCCTGTGCCCGAGAGCACACAATGTACGTGGGACAGCCTCTCCTGTCCCATGGCGAAGGGCACGAAAACAGCGGTCTCGAGCGCGGCCTTCGCCGCCGTGACGACGTCCTTCTTCTTTAAGGCCCTCCCGCCGCCGCCGCCGCCGCCGCCGCGCGCACCGACAGCCTCAGATGACGGCACCAGCAGGCTTACTCCATCGGGCTCCTCGCCCTCCTCGATCTCGACGCCGCCCGCCACGACAAGCCCCGACGTTCGGCCGGCCCCGGCCCCGCGCACGCGCACCCACCGCACCAGGGAGACCGCCGTTCGCACGATGGTCGGCCCTTCCCTCGGGCACGAGCCGTCGTCCCCGACCTCGCGCACCCACCGCGGCGGGCCGGTCTCGTGCGAGGGCGACGAGGAGACGGAGAAGACCGCGTAGCAGCCGGCCGCGAACCCGGCCGCGAACGCCTCGCCGGAAGGGTGCAACGCCAGGCTCGTCACCTCGCGACCTTCCCGGTCCTCGAAGTCCTCCTCCTCGTCGTCGTCCTCCTCCTCCTTCTTGCCTTGCGACTTGCCCAGACTCCGGAGCGCGAGTCGCTTCCGGCGGACCCAATCCCAGACCACGATTCCGCCGCACCGGTGTCCAAAAATGCCAAACCCGCCGCCGCCGCCGTCCCGATCTCCGAAAGATGCGATGGCGGTGACGGCCCCCAAACTCTTGCCGGGCGCTTGCAGCAGCTCATCGGGTGCTCCGTGGCTCGTGTTCTGAGGCTCCACGGTGTAGCCGGACTCGCGATACACAGGGAAAACTTGCGCGACGCGAACGCGACCGCTCTCGAAGCCCAGGAAGACGTACCGCTCTTCGTGGGCGTCGGAGGCGAGGCCGCCGCCGCCGCCGCCGCCGTGTGAGTGAACGGACGTGACGCGCTCGTCGAGGCCCGTGGCGGGGTCCGGCGGGGAGGGGATGCTACCGCCGCGCCCTCCTGCCGCGAGGTCCCACACCAACACGGCACCCGTTGCCGTCACCCCAACGAGGAGGCTCGGCGTCGCGAAGAGCAGATGGGACGGTGGGTCCTCGCCGGCGACGGACGCCCCCTCCTCCTCGAGAACTAGCTCCACCCCCGGCCCGCCGAACACTTTGACCAGACCCCCGCGGGAGGCGACGGCCATCAGTCCCTGGGGGCGCGTGCGAGACAACAGCAGCAGCATCGATCGGCAGCAAGAATGCATGGAAGGGTTATAACTGCTGAAGGGAGGCTATCGTGTACCCCAGCTGGTTGCGTATTGGTGAAACCTTCGAGACCCGTACGCCTTGTTCGAAGGACGACGAGGGGGAACCCACAGCAGAGGGTGCACACAAGACATACCCTGCTATAGAAAAACGAAATGCAGATAGTTATAGGATCCATCTTTTGCTGTACGATTGAGCGCTTCGACACCAGTCCATTTTCTTGCAAGGCGCCGCTCTTGTGTTGGCATCGCAGCGTGTTGCCAGGTGGGGACCGTTGCACATGAGCTGCATTTCCTGTTCCGTGATGTACGCGAGGTTCCTCGGACAAGGGAGGAGACTCACGTTGGTTGGTTCGTAGGACAAGACACAAGCGTCGCTGATCGAACCATGATGGCCCAGCCGCTTCGGGGAGGCGAAGGACCCCATTACATCAGCAGCGTCTGCGTCCGGACCGTCGTTTTCGGGCCCTTCCCGCTGCTCCTCGCCGGCGCTGCTCTTGAGGCCGACCTGCCCGAAAACAGACGTTAATGATTCGCTTCACGACATGCCGGGCGCCGGCGACCTCTACATATGAACATGAATGTATGTAGCCCACGTGCGCGCGTATGTGGAACTAAACAAAGTGATGACAACCACTTGCGCGCAGCACTGGTAGGTAGTCGTCGCATCTCGGATGATGGGGGTGTTGTTCCTGATTCAACGTTCTTGGCACGCGGCGTCTTGTCGGAACATGGCGGCGGTGGCGGTATTTTTATTTTCGTTGTCCAACAACCGATCGTCGTTCGTGCGAAAACGTTGTGCACTGAAGTGCATTCGTTCATGCTTGACGCGGAACGGATGCTAGGGTATAGCATCATCGCTGACGACACGGACGCGCACTACCAGGAAGTATACCAAGCAGCAAAGCTCCACCGACAGCAGTGTGCTGGGTGCTGGGCGAGGTACATAATATGCCGGTAGTGCAGAGGATACGACTCTAGACAATTTGACCGTGTTCCAGCCTGTAGCTGGCGGTATCGGGAACTCTTCTTCACCTGGCTAAGAAAGCTCCGCATGGCTGCTGCCTGGGCAACGCCCACCGACGAGAGAGCGCCGCAAGCCGGTCTGCCTGCTGGCCGCCTGTGTCTGCTGCGTCTGATCTATCAATTTTCGGGGGACACGCACATTATTAGGGAGTGATGGATGGGGGGTTCGATGCGGGGCAATACACATAAGCAAGTGCCGAACAGCGGACTTTGGCCTGCTGCAACACTGCGCCGTACACTTGCTGTGAGCGAGAACACAAGACGCGGACGTGGAGAGCGGACGGCCCAGGAAGAAATATGTGCGTGCTACATGCAGTTGAGACGAAATTTTCATTTGCTCATCTATGCTACTACTACTGCTGTTGTAAGCTTGGTAGCTTATCAATGTGGCTTGGCCTCTACCGAAAAAGGAGCAACACCGCGGGTTATATTGTAGCTTAAAGCGAAGTTGCTGTTATACGTTGCAGCTTTCCTACAGACCACTCACGTGGAAGATCGTAGAAGAAGAGAGGCTCATCTCATGTATGTGTATACAACAGCGGGTAATATGGGAAGTAGGTGCTGAGGTGCCCTCTGCTGCATTGTTGTCCAACATGCGCAGAACGGTTGCACCGACATTGACATCCGACATTCGGAGGCCGCTGTCGGAATCCATCATCAAACTGCGCCACAATACGGTCTACGCAGTAACTGCTGTGTGTCTGCTTCGGTCGGTATTTTCATTCTTGTATTGAAGTTGTTCTTGAAAACCAAGCATTTTTTATGCTGGAGTTTTTTTTTTTTTCATGGATGAATACACTGAAGAGTGTACTCTACATATGCTACGCTGAAACACGTGTCCTGCTGCCTGTAATACGCGTTTCAGCACGAAAAATGGGGGGACTGCTGTCGCCTATTGTAATAAATAGGACGAAAACACACACACCATCTATGTTTCTACGAATCCCCGAGCAGCAAGCATATATAACGATATCTCCCCTGTGGGTTACAGGCTGGCTCTACAAGACAGTTTGTGGTGGAAAGGTCTGTATGTTGCACCCGTAGACACACATGTTTGGCGCATACAGTATGCATATCATGCGTATGCATACTATACGGTCCGACGGTTACTCCCTGCTACGATGTTGATCTTTGGTACATAGGCAGAGTGTGGCTGTGGCGCCGCGGTTGTACAGCATGTACGGCGTAGGCGAACGTCAGCAGGCGAGCGTTGGCAGGTGTACACGAACAACTTGGCTTGTGCGCATGTCGGTGGGGGCTTGCCCAACTTGTGCTGGAGGCCACGTATCAAATCGAATGAAGCTCTTGCTTCTCGGTCTCATCGGGTCGATATCCGTGGGTCCGTCCGGTGTCGGTTCTCGAAAGCCCTTGCCGTTGGTAATCTCTCTAATTCTTCTTTTCGGTACCTTGCGGCCGCACTTTCAATTTTTGGTGGTTGCACCATCACCAGCCATTTAGTACGTCTCGATCTCGTCTAAAAGCCCCCACCGTCTTCACCCACGGCGGTCCCTCTCCATTCGCTCTTGCTTGGGGTGCACTCTTCGATTCCACCGTGGACCATATTGAAAAACTACTCGAGCATTTGACAACAGGAAACAACAACAACAACAACCACAACAGGAACAACAGCAGCAACCACAACGACACGATCTGTCTGTGCTCGAACGCTTCGCAGGTGCATATTGTTTCTCTATCACGCTCTCGGCAAAGAGGCGGGCCATGATGATGATGCCCCCCCCCTCGCGTCGATGGACTTCTCGGCGGCGGGGAAGGCCGCGGCAGGCAACGGCGAAGGGCGCGGGATTCGCGGCCGCTACAAGCTGATCGTCGCCTCCAACAGGGACGAAGACCTCGGCCGACCGACGGCCCCCATTCACTTCTGGAAGGACGCGGGCTCTAACTTGCTGGCAGGCTAGTATCCAAAGGCGCGAGCACGTGTCTTACGCTTGTTACAGCACGTAGGTCTGGTCTGGGCGTTTTCTCTCTTCAAAAAGCGTAGAACGAGAGAATCGAATAATTGAGACAGGCAGCCGAGCATCCCCCCCGTCGTGATTGCCATACCTTCATCCCCCCCCCCCCCCCGCACTCCCATATTTGTTTTTGTATGCATATAAAGGTCGCGATCTGGTCGCAGGTGGGACCTGGCTGGGCGTGAGCCGCTCCGGAAAGTTCGCCACCCTGACTAACGTCTCCTCGACCTGGGAGAACGTGCTCGAGGACGTGACCCTGGGAGGGTGGGCCAACAAGGTGGCGGCCGTCGCCGCCGCCGCCACCGCCGCCGCCACCGCCGCCGCCGCGGCCATCCTTCGCGCACGGGCTGGCCACGAGAACGGGATCAGCAGTAGTGATGCTGCTAGCGGCAGCGGGGGCGGCGGCGGCGGCGGCTGGGGTGCCACTGCTGCTGCTGCTGTGGTGTCGAGCTTGGGCTTGTCTAGGCCGGCGGGCTCCTCCTTGTCGTCGTCGTCGCTCGGCTGGCTGTACGCGCTGTGCGCGGCGGCGGGGCTGGTCACGGCCGCCTCGGTGCCCCTGGCAGTGGCGGTGGCGAGGGCCAAGGCCCGGAAGAGCCGGGGCGGGCTCGTGGCCGACTTTTTGAAGGGCGACGAGGACGCAGAGACATACTGCTCACGACTATCCAAGGTGGGTAGGATGGGGAAGGGGGTGCCGAAGTGGTTTTGATAGCTGCCGGGGGGCGGGGGGTGGGGTTACTCAGGGATTCATGTAGTACATAGATTATCTCGCATTCGCATGTTGCTGTCTTGACGCTTTCTCGAAGACGCGGTGTGTGTGGGTGGGTGACGATCCCGTCGCTGCCGAATGGCGATTCCCAAACAAACGCTTGCGAAACAATTTTTTTAGGAGCGACGGCGATACGCCGGGTTCAACCTCGTGCTCTCGGATCCGAGCGGCGCTTGGCTGCTGAGCAACAGGGACGAGGCCGGGATAACCCGCCTTCCGCACGGCTTCTACGGGATCAGCAACGACACTCTCGACAAGCCTTGGGCAAAGGTTTGGATCATACTTCGAAGTAGTAATGTTTTTTGCGCGTGTGTTCCTCGCGTTTTTTGGCTTTTGTTCGATGCCTCAAGCCCGTGGTGGCGACGGGCTGGATAAAGCAAGGCCCGTCCTGGCAACTTTCGTGGAATGCCAGTCTCCCCTCGGGTTTTATTGCCGAATGCTTGCGCTCTTAGTGAACATTCCCCGAAGTGCTGGTTGCCGCCGGAGTGCGGGCTTGTCCTCCTTCGTGATTCTTTTGGCATCATCATGGCTACAGCAGCACGTGGAACTCCACCACGGTGTAACCCTGCCACCGACGGCGTGTGGGGAACCGCAGGCCAGAGAGAGCGAGAGTAGATCGACCGATTTTCCCCAGTGCCGAAGCTTTTCAGACCTTTTCTACGTGTGCACGATCACCGCACGCGACGACACAAAAACAGCAACAACAACAACAACACCGACATCAACAAAACCAACAGTATCAACAACAGCAATAACAATAACAACAACAACAACAACAACAACAACAACAACAATAACAACAACAACAACAACAACAACAACTGCAAGCAGATGGTCTACGGCAAGTCTCGCGTGCTGCAAGTACTGCTCCGGGATGACGGCGGACCCGACGTTAACGGAGGAAGACCTTGGTGGACCTTCTCATGGACGTGCTTGCCGACGAGACCCCAGGTGAGAGCCCGAACGGGAAGAAGAAGCGTGACGTTGAGTTTAGCGCGGGAGGGTGTACGATGCTGATCAGGAATGATGGGCATGAAGATTGAAACCATTGCACGTCAAGGACCAAATACCCCCCCGACACACAGACCGACGCGGGTTGCCCGTCCGTGTAGGCACTTCCGGGCGCCTGTGTGGGGGGTGGTAACGTGATATGGTATGGGGGGGTTTTTTCATGTTCGTGCGTGTTTGCCACAAGCAAGCATTGCCTGAAATTGCCCCAAGCGCGTTTGAAGCGTTTTATGCGTTGTTGCTTTTTGGGGGGGGGGATGGAGTTTTAGGATGTGTTAGCAGTCGCGGCCCCCCCTCGATGCGAGAGTCACCGAAACCCTCACGGTACTCGGACGACTTGTAACATGAAAAACCCTTGTAGGGATGCGTGCATGCAGCATGGCCATATATAGGTACCTCCCCCCCCCCCCCCCCCGGCAAAGTAGGAAGGAAAGATTAGCCATCGATGATCGGTTCTGTGGGGACAAACAACGTTCGTCCTCTCGAGGACGCCTTGTCCATGGTTCAACAGAGCTAAGGCATGTGAGACATGAAAATACACCCCCTCCTCTCGCACCAAAAAATCGCGTCCGTTCGTGAACCAACGAATGCCCGCACTTACGGATACCCGGCCCTAAACCGAACAGTTCTCGCCGGGGATCCGTGCCAGAACGTGTGCATCCCCCCGACGGTCTGGGTCCCGAAGCTGAAGCTTCCCTGGGCGAAGTCCCCGTCGCGGCCGCTGATGTACGGCACCCGGTCGTCGACGGTGGTGTTGGTGGACGCTGCCGGGAGGACGAGAGTCGTGGAGCGTAACCTCGGCTCGGTGGTGGGTGGGGCGGGCGAGGAGGGGAAGCGCAGCGGGAAGAAGGGCACGGTCGCCGCTACCGCCGCCGCCGCCGCCTCCGCGGCAGGAGCGAAGGTTTGCCGAATGCGCGACGCTGACAGGACATCTTTTGAGTTTTGTGATGTTTGATTTTGGGACGCTGACCACGCGTCTGTCGACTTGTGACGCTGACCGCACCTCTCTGGAATCGTAGCATATTTTTCATGGTTTGATCCATGGCCAAGTGTAGATGGATACCTAGAGAAGTTGTTTTTGGTCCCTGCGTTGTAGATAGATGGCCCGAGACATGGAAGCATGCTTGCGAGCATGTCTGCTTGGCGAGATGGCATGGCATGTAGAGACGGTGCTCCAAAGTCGCCGAGGAAAAACAGACACCCGAAACGCCATCCATGTAAATTTGTGTGTCTGCTTTATTATTCTTGCAGAACCTGCTTCTTTTAGGTCTCCTTGTTCCGATTTGGTCTTTTGAGCAATCGAATGGATGCTGGCCTTGCTGGCCTTGTTTATCAGTTTGATGAAAATCGTGCGTCTGTGGGTTTCCGAGAGCGAATGTACCTCCGATGATGACGTGACCCACACATTCGCTCTTTGATTTCGCTGCGCTTGGTTCTACCACGTTCGCTGCTGAACCCCATCCATATGTGGCGCACGTAAATGACACGGCATCCTAGAAAGTAGTGGTTTGGTGTTCAAGTAGCGAAGGAGAATGGTTGGGTACCACCATGCCAATCGGTGCTGGTGACGTTGACAAGTATCCCAGGTCACGATGCATGGCGGAGGCTGAGGAATAGCCCCATCTCGAAGACGTGGGCCAACATTTTCAGAAGTTGGAGCCTGGCGGTTTCCCGCATTTGTTGAACAAAATATTTCACCTGTGCCCATCAAGAAGCAGGAATGGTGTTTTCGTGTAGAGAGAAGTGCCTGGGATCCTTCCTTGGTTAAGTTTTGTTTGTTTCGAGGAAATTTATACCGAGTGTGCTTGTCCAGAATCGGCCAGCCCGTCGCGATCGGAATGAGGTTGTTTGGCGCATCCTCACGATGATCCTGAAGTTTCAAAGGTGTATTTCATATGTCATCAAGCACTAAATGACAGACAGAAAAGGCGAGACCGGTGCAGTCAGGATGACAGCATGCCAGGTAGACTGTGCCTCACCGCAACATACATCGTAGGACGTACGTACGCTCGAGCTCAACGGCTTTCTTCGGCCACGTCAAGCACAGCAATCGACCTCTTCAGGGCAAACTAAACAGCATGAGGTGCAACGCAAACGCATCCAGCGTTAAGGTTGGCGTCATACAACCAATAAAATGTGGCGATACGGTAGAATGGGGTCCCATGAGGGGACGGCGGTCTATGTCCCCCTCCTTTCGGGCCCCTGTGTTCCTACAAGCAGCCTCTTCACAACATGCCATTCATTCCAGCAGCAACACAAGTATGCTGGGGGGCGACAATCAAGCACTACGGTGCTGCACTTTTCATCAAGCTCAACAAACAGGCAACTTTCAAAAATAACTCCGCGGTGGAGAGACGCAACCACAGTAGTGTGACGAGAAAAACACGAACGACCACGCTATACTACAAACGACAACGATACAACAAAGGCTAAACGGCCACCGTGAAATACGTACAACAACCGAGCACCCCCGCCCCGCCTCGCTTTTGTATCACAATCCCGACAACAAGATTATCTTCATGATGCAAACACGAGGGAACAGATTAAAAACCTACCACACGCGGAACAACGCCGCAGTACTTGCTGTGCTGCCAAGTTCTTCCTGTCCTATTCAGTACGGGTGCCCCTGTGGGCTTAGTTAACATTCACACGAACTGCGCGAAACGTCGCGACCTTCTGCGCTCCTCCTCTTCCTCGTCTTCCTCTTCTTCGCCACCTAACAGTGTCGCGTGCCGCGGCTCGGCCTCCCTCGCGCCCGCCACGAGCCACAAGTCCCCGCACAGGCACAAAGCGAGCCAGAGCGAGGGCTCCAACGGCAACCTCTGTCCCGCCCACATGGCGAGCGCGAGCACCAACGGCCCGGCGATCGACCCGAGAACGTCCCCGACGAACAGGTTCGAACCGCTCGCCGTCGCCAACGATGAACCCCGCGCCCGCGGCCCCCGGCTGGCCCCAACGAAGCCGCTGCCGCAGCTCGCGCTGCTCGTCGATCTCGTCCTCTCGTCGCTGGGGCCATGACTGCTGCTGCTGGTGGTCCTGCTGACGAACATCGGGCGCCGATGCCGGGATCCGGCTGTTGATGAAGCAGCCGAGGCTGCCCCCGCCACTGCCGCCGCCGCCGCCGCCGCTGCTGCTGCCGTGCACAGCTCGAGCGAGGCGTGATTCGCGGCGACCACCGCCGCCACCGCCAGCCACAGCACCGCGGGCGGGATGAACGCCGCCGCGACCGCCTCGGGCACGATCCTTGGCAGCAGATAAACCGCCCCAAGGACCACCACGCTCGCGAGCCGCGTCCACACGGCGTACAAGAGCCGGCGCCCCGCCCCTCCCCCGCCGCCGCCGCCGCCGCCGCTGCCGCCCCCTGCCTGGCCGGGATATTGAGCTCCGCAACAACATCCCGATGCCCCTCGGCCAGCCGCCGCCACCCGCGCCCCCGCCGCGAATACAAGCCCGACTCGCGGCGGCGACGCGCCTAACCCTCCGGCCTCCACCCCTGCGAGCAGCCACACCGGCAACGCCTCGCGGACGGCGGCGCTCGAGGCGTACAGAACGGTGGCCACGTCGGGCCGAGAGGCTCGGCGCCCGAGCGGCCTCAGGCACGGGCACGGCACGCTCAGGCTGGACACCGGCTGCGGGTAGCAGTAGTGGTGGTCCTCTCCAGCGGCTATCCCGCCCGGAAACGTCCCGGGCTTCCCGCCGTAGGACAGGCGGGAGGGGAACCCTCCGTCGTCCCTGGCGGCGGCGACACCGCTGCTACTGCCGAGAACCGCCGGTGATTCGCTCGGCACCGGAGAGAGTTTCAAGCCGGCCTCGACCAAGGAATGGTGGGCCGCCTGACATACAGGTGCATGGACACCAAGCAGCACGAATGCGCGACACAAGAGAGCGGAGGGCGCGGGGGGGGGGGGGGCCCCCTGTTTTGAATGCCCCAACGGTTAAACCACTTGTCCCCCAAAGGTAGGAAAAACCTGAGGGGGGGGGGGACGGGGAAACCCAAACCACGCCAACATTGTTCAGGCCGTTCTCGGCGCAAGTCACTATTAATTTGCACGACGGAGATGTTCCGATTGTTGTTGCTGCTGCTCCAATTGGAGCAGTCACTGCTAGCTATCGCACATCCAAGGACCTGCTGCAGAGTTTTGCTAGGAAAATTATTTTGAATCATATGCAAAATGCACACATGTTCTCCAGTACAATTATGAAACACACACAAAAAAGACGCACAACAGCAGTTGGCCATCAACACTCCCGACGATAAACCCGACCGCTATCAGCACCACACCCAACCCCCACCTGTATGGCCAAGACCGTCATATCCTCCGAAGAAACGCTCGCACCGCGTTCCCGCCGAGTCGATGTCGTCTGCCCCACCCTCTCTCCCCCACCCTCACTCGCACCTCCCCCTTCCACCGCCCCCGCCTTTCCCCCGCCACCGCCGGCCATATCGTCCCGGAGAACCCACCGGTGCTGCTCCGAGTCGTACTGGAAGCCGTTCTCCTGCCCGAGGTGCGCGACGGTGGAGCGCCGCCACGCCAGCTTGCCCCCGGCCCAGCCCAGCGCCCCGCGCACCGAGCCAAGAACACGACGAGCGGCGCCCGGCGGCCGCCCCGCGGCAACCAAACCCCCGCCGCCCGTTTCTTCTAGCCCGGCGCCGCCGCCGCCGCCGAGCACGCCCGATTCCGCCGGACCTCTGCCCTTCGTCACCGCGCCGGCCGCCGCCGCCGCCGGCAAGCCGTTATTTCGCGGACCTACCCCTCCCGCTCTCGCGGTCGGCTCCGAACGAGCGCGGAAATCAACCTCGACCTCCTCCTCCTCTTCTTCGTTGGACCGTAGCGCTTCTAAACCGGACGGCGGCGGCGTCGGCGTCGGCGGCGCCCCGGCGTGCGAACCAGGACCGGCGGCGGTGGCGGTGGCGATGCTCGCCACGTACGTGCGCAAGTCTAGCTCCTCCTCGCTCTCGCCCAGGTCTAGGGGGCACGTGCCGCCGTACTGCCGGGGCAGGTTCTCCGGGGCGATGCACTCCAGGAGCGCCGCCGCGATCTTCTTGGCGTCCGTGTTGATGATGCCGATCTTGGCCTGGGTCCGCTCGTTGAGCATGGGGCGAATGACACGCCTGCACGCGTGCCAACGACCAGGCGCGGTAGGTCGGGTTAAAGGGGAGCGGGGCTTGAACGGTGAGGGCAGGAGAAACGTGCGCGACGGCACGTGGGTACCCATCGAGCGCGTGAGAAATGGGAACGATTTGCTGGCGCAGCGTCTCCCAGGAGTTAAACCACCCCCAAACCCTACGTGACACTGCTCTGTATACGCTGGGGTACCACTACGAGCAAATGCGGAGGCATGAAAACCAAGTACGCAAAAAAAAGTGCGATTCAGGCAACGCCAAGTTGCTTCGTTTCTGTACGTGGGAACAATAATACCCTGTCGCCGGCGAGGGGATTCTTGAGGACACAAGGGGCGAGGAGAGGAGACGGACAGGCGGCACACCCACATAGCAACGGCGACACGCTGCGTAAACTCACCAGATGAGACTGAAATAGGACGGTGCGTTCACGATGAACATACGGTTGCTCCTCTCCACGTAGTGGTCCTGTACGATCGCCGTTGCTTGCTGTTGCCACGCCACAAAACATGCAAAGAACGAGGAATTACAAGTATCAGCACAAAGCTCGTGCCGAGGGCTTTATGTGCCTCAGTTGACACGTCGGACGGCATGTCCGCTGGCAAGTAGCCGCTCGTCGTATTACCACCAAAAGCGCGCCAGCTGGGTTTCTGGAACTACATTTCAGAACTGTTTACGCAATCAAGCCTGCCGCACCTTGACGAAACCCAGGGCTTCCCCCGCGAGATCGCGCATCCCCAGCCCTTGCACGTCCAGCACCGTCACCGCCTGCCCGTTCTCGAAGTCCGGCTCCAGAACCCCCCACATGTACTCGGTCACGAAGACGTAGTGCCGCTGGAGGGCCTCGGGGCTCACGCCGGCCGATCGTATCGCCGGGAGGTCGATGCGGCCGGGCAACTCGATCCACACGGGGCACCCGTTGCGCGCCCGGCGATGGATGTAGTGAGGGTAGTGGCGCTTGATCAGCTCGAAGTGCGGCTGGGGCTCTCGCAAGACCTGTTCGGTGGTGGCAGGCGGGTCGCGCAAGCGAGAGTCGAAGGGTTTTTCCTGTAAAGGGGAGTTCAGGCTGCATCGATGCAGTGCACTGTCTCTAGCAGGTACGAATAGACTAATTCCTGGTAAAGCTATTGAATGCTGGTGTGCGTACAGAAGTAGTTGCCGGGAAATAATTCTTGGTTACGACGTCATACTTTCTCCTCAGAGCGGTAAGCGGACAACGATATGCAGAGCGGGCGTTACCTCGTCGATTCGCTCTTTCGCTCTCCATTCCAACGTCAGCCTCCAGCGCCGCTCAGCCTCGACCGGGTCCCCGGCACACCCCCGGAGATAACGCCCGGGGATGTCTACTACCCTCTCCTCGCTGCCCGCGCCCGGGGTAGCGGCAGCAGCAGCAGCAGCCGAATCACCTCTCCCACCGTCAAAGGAATCATCACGGGCGCTCCACGGCGGACGTCCCATCAGCTCGACCTCGGCATCGCTCCCGCCCGGCGTCCCCTGCACCGTGGAGTAGCCACCGCCGCCGTCGACCGTGCCGCTTCTGCTTCTGCAGCAGTTCCTCCACGCGACGAGGAGGACCAGCGGCAACGCCGCCGCGTGTGCTGCCGCCGCCGCCAGGCACAGGAGGAGCGTCGGCCGGGAGGGGTCGGAGTACTCGAACAGGCCGCCGGCTAGGGCGCAGCCCGCTACGAGGCCGCCCACGGCTCCCGCGGACTCTTGCCAAGACCTACTACCGAGCTTTGCCGCGGTGGTGATAGTTGTCGGAGCTGACTCCAGAAGTGCGGCGTGATCGAGGCAACGGCAAGCGGACATTCTGTGCCCAGCGGCCAGAGCACCGGTCAACGCTCGAAACAGACAGAAATACAACAACACGTACAAGCTCGACGTCGTAAGCTGCTGCTCGTGATCGACGACGACGACGACGATGCCACAACCTGTGTAGGCCGAGGCGGAGAGCACCAGCAGAACGCCGACCGTCAGAAGCGACGGAGGTATCGCTGCTGGTGCCCGCGACGATCCTGATGCGCAGAGCCGCACCGCAGCGGTAAGAGTTCCCGAGCGGCCCACGTAGTACGACGCCAGCAGAACAGCCACTACCCAAGCTGTCGAGAAGCCCACGGTGTCCCTCTCCATGCCTAGCAGCTGTCCGACCAAGGACGGGAGCACGGGAAGGAACAGGGCGCCGCTGAGGGCATCTTGAAAGAACAGGACGCAGGCCACCGTCCTCCACAGTCGGGTGTGGGCTGTCATGGTTGCCGAAGTTCCCTCCCAGCTCTTATCTTCCCCTGGTCTCGCCCAGGTTTCCTGCACTCTCCAGTGGGCATACAGCAGGGGTAGTCCTAATCTCTCATCTCGTAGTACAGCCTCGGCTATATAACTTCGCTGCTGTGCGGCGTCTGCTGCTGTTTGTGCACCAGCAACCGCCGGCTAGCCGGCCAGCGAGCTGTGCGGACAGATCAGATTTGGAGAGAACCATTTTTCACCCCCCCCCTCCCCCCCATCACAGGTGTGTGTGTGTCCACCAACCACAAGTTGCCACACACAACAACATAACACAACATTGCACCGCACACCTAAGTTACTGAGACAGATTGCTGTGTGCAACGCGTGTGCCAGGTGTGTGTGGGCGAGATGAGCTGCCGCCCTGCAATGCTGCCATTTTCTGCGTTGGCTGCTGACTTGTCTCGTAGAAGCGTGCAGCATATGCTGGTTGCAGCAAGCATCAGCGGGCGAAACCTCTCGACGGAGAAACGACCGCAGACACCATCATCATCATCAGCAGCAGCAGCAGCAGCACGACCAGCCGCCGGCGGCAGTGGCACCAATGCTAGTGCTTGCTCCATGCCAGACCCGAGGAACCAGCGGGTGCTTCACGCTGCCGTCGCGGGGCTTCCAAATGCTGGGAAATCTACGCTGTTAAACTACATGGTGGGCGATAAGGTGAAACAAAATATTAGTGTGTTTCCTGCACTGCCTCCTCAGTGTAAGTACAAGACCTCGTACAGTATAGGACCGGCACATACCCATCGGTGCTCGTTGGATAGCTCTCTACCTATCCAGCCTCCTGTCGCCTGGGTATAGACTACAAAGGAACAGACACACAGATTAGAGCAGAGTAAGGCTCATGTGGCTCGTGTAGCTGTCTGTTCCGCACCATACTACACAGCAGTCAGTGGAGTCCCAAGTACACCAGCACGTGACATGTTTACTCGAAAACTTTTCCATGTGCTATGATACAACCAGTGGTACGCATACAGCAGTAGCCAGTGTTTGATGTTTGCAGTGTAGTTTGACAGCGTATAAGCTGGTGTTGCTGCTGTCTCGTGTGGATGAACAATTTTTCACCCATCGTGCATTCCGAGTAATACATCGGCCCAACAGGCAAGGTGTGTGATACGTGCATCACCTGTTCGTTTGCAACGGCACTGCTGTCATCATCATCCAACCCCACAACTCTTCAAAACAATTTCCGTTCTAGCGACTGCTGCGGTAGATGGGAAGCTACTATATATTCTGGGTCTTAAGCCTGGTAGCGTAACAGCGCCACAAGCATTGCGACAGCACAATTCGTCCTCCATCCAACCCCCCCAGAGTATGAACCGCGCGTGTTTGTGTTTTTTCAAACTCATGGTGTCTCGGTATCAGGTCTCAGCTGTCTCCACGAAGCGACATACGACCCGAGAGAACACCCTGGGGGTCATGACTGTCGGGCGGACCCAGGTGTTTTTCCACGACACCCCCGGCTTCGTTAGCCACGAAGAGCGCGACGACTACAAGCCCGCGTTGTCGGCCGAGTCCCGCGAGGCCATCGCAGCGGTGGACCTCACGCTCTTGCTCGTGGACGCCTCCAAAGACGTCACGAAGCGCGGGCTGCGAAGCCTGACGGGGTTGCTCGAAAGGGTCCTTCGGTGAGAAAAGCGTTGCGTATTGTTTCTCTGTGATTCAATCGGTGGCAGTAGTAGGTGGCATCCGAGTCCACTCCATGAGAGTGTGTCTGGCGGAGAAAGTGCCTGATCTTGTTGGTAGTGGTTTGGCTTCCGCGCGGTTCAACCTGACGCTTTTGCTCTTGCACACGCTTTGCTCTTGCATCTCTTTTCTCAAAAGCTCGGCTGAATAGGTGGTCCTCAAGTTGGTAATGTGGTTGGAGAATTCATGGAGGAAACAATGTTCTGTCTGATTCGTGATTGCAGCTCTTGAGTAGAGAGGACAAGACCATGCATGCGGCAGGCAGATACTGCAAGCGAAGGCACTATTAAACAGATGAGATACTTCAAGAGATACATCACAGACGATATCAGGATTTTCGGGGACATGACTCTCCTGTGCCACGCTACCGCGCGCGACAGGTCTCGATGCGAGGTGTTCCTGGTGCTCAACAAGTCGGACTTAGTCCACCCCAGGCACCGCCTTCTCGCAACCACGGACGAAATCATGGATAGGGCTCAGGAGATCATGGACCGGATAGACTCGGAGCGAGAACAAGCTGTTGCTGCTGTTGATACTTCACCACGACACGAAAATGGTACCGCTGCAGCAGCAGCAGCAGCAGCAGCAGGGAGTGGCAATTGTGGCGCCTCCAACGGGAGTGGCGTTGGTGAGCGAGGGCAGGAGCCGTTGTTTCGGGACGGTGGGAAAACGGTCGACGATCACGTGACGGTGTTCATGGTCTCGGCAAAGACGGGCCATGGTGTCGAGGACGTCGTCGATTTTCTCGTGCACCGCGCCAGGCCCGGCGCCTGGCTGTTCGGTCCGGACGAAACGACCAACAAGGACAAGAGGAGCCGGGTAAAGGAGATCGTGAGGGAAGGCCTGTACAAGCACCTCTACAAGGAGCTGCCCTACCAGATCACGACGCACATAAGGTAAATAATAACCCATGGTTCGAAGGACGATCTTCTCCTAGAGAGAGCGTCCCGCCCGCCCGCCTGGCTTTGTCCGCCCACTTGGTAGCAAAGCCCACTCACCCTTCTCTCCGTGCTAGTGTGCAGCAGTAGGATGGGCTGTACCGAAACAACGGTCTCGATGCTACTCCTTCGTCAGCTGATGCTGCTGCATTCGACCGGGTTTTGTCTCTTGTTTTCGATTGTGCGGGCGTTCAGAGGATAGTGTTTTGCGCGTACGGGTTTTGAGGCCGGCCAAGGTTGCTGTAAATGGAACCAGGCGATACCCAAATCCGACCAAAGGGGCCTGGAGCTTGCACAACAGACATAGCTCCTTGGCCATGCCCACCCCAAAGGCCAGCAGGCTCTTGCTGGGGGGCCGGGGGCACCTTTCGCCCGACAATGTTTTTTGTTTTTTCGTGTGTTCGTGGCTTTCGATACGCAGCCGGAGTGGCTGAGAGGCACAACACATGTTGTTCGTCACCAGCCCTTATCCTACGTCACGGTCACGTAGCAACACAACAATAGCGTGGTTGTTTTACAAGAAACCGCGTCTCACCTCTCTCCCGTACTCCAAGCCGCGTTGGCTCCGCCAACCGGTCACCTCCACCGCCAACCACCGTGCCGTGCCTGCCGTTCGTTCACCCCCTGGGACCCCTTGTAACGTCCCCTATCCTCCGGACGGGGGTTTCGATTCAGTTCGGGAGGTACGTTTGTCCGGGCCGAGTGTTTCAAGGACATCATCTACGTTGTACGGTATGTGGCTATCGGTACGGCGGTGTTTTTTTTTTTTTGCGTTGACCCACACGCTAACCCCCGCCCAAAACCCCCCTGCGCGCGATACCTCTCGGCGTCGTGTTTGCTGGTCACTGCTCAGGGAGCTCTCGCGAAGACCGGACAACAGCGTATCCGTGCTGCAAGAACTGCGCTTGGACAGGGCGTCGCAGAAACCCATTGTGCTTGGGAAGCTCAAGTACATCAAGAAGGACGTTGAGTGGGATCTGCGGAAGCTGTTCGGCACGCGCGTCGACGCGCGATTTTTCGTGATAGTGGGCCACAAGAAGGGTTAGATGCCAGGCCACCGAGGAGCGGTGAAGGCTGTTGGTCGAGGAGTACTCTTGGGGGGTGGCGCTACGTTTGTCCAGCAGCAGCAGTATTGCGGGTGTAAACAGGTGGTGTTGTGTGTTGTGTGTTTTTTTATTTTGCATCGACCGCGCTAATCGGCGGGCCAACCAAAATAACGTCAAAATGGTGTGTGTACGTGTGCGGTCTCAGTCCCACGGGGGTTCGTTGCAGCATGTGGGAGATGATTTGCAAGATGAGTGCACATGCGTAGCTCTACATAATTCCCGAAAGGCACGGCAGTCCTTGGAACCATTCCGGAGTTAACGTCGCCCTTTGAGGCTGCAACAACCTGTTGTTTCCTAGCCAGTGGACGTCCTACGATCGGTCACGCGTCTCCGTGCGGCCTTCCCCCGTGTGTTTTTCGTCGCTGTGTGCCAAGTGCACAGCTGCTAGGCGTTAGGTATCGAAGGGTCAAGTTTCCCCCTGGAAAATCCCCCCCGCAAAGAGAGGGCACGCATGGACGTTCCCTCTTGTTCTTGGACAAGCAACTCTGAGCGACGGAAAACGCGCGCGCGCGGGGGGGATTTTAGATGCCCTGAAAGGGTCTTGAGTATTGAACTTCTTTGTGATGACCAGTGTACACCCAACGCTTGTGGTTGGGGGTAACGCTATCTGCTTACCATTCGTGTGCACACAAAAGATGAAGAAATTTTCACACAACGACACAACCAAACAATCATTTACACACATTTTTTTGCAGTTTTCGCAGTTTTTTGCACAGCACCGCTGGCAGCGGAACTCACTATCATATCCGAAGAATAAGAAGAATGTGTCCCTCTCCGCCCCTAACAATCGTATGCTTAGCTGTAACATGGCAGTTCACGTGAAGGAGGTCTAGGGATGCATGTAAAAACGATTGCATTCATGTTTCGTAGACGCGTATATGTATTTGTATTCATAGACACGCTCAATACCGACCCCCCCCCCCCCCCCCCCCCCCCCGTCCTTTTCCCTCCCCCCTCGCTCCTC